TGAATAGTGGCGTTATTTTATCAAGTCATTCCAGTGGTATTAGATTTTCTGGTTGGACTATTTGAAGATCTTTGTTGGCTGAGGTGGTCAGGAAACGGGTGACCATCTGAGCAAGGGCCAGACAATAAAGAACGGTACTGCTAGATGCTGCCATCCAAAAAATATTTGAATGAAAGAGGGGTCTCTCTGACTGTGTGAGTGTGTGTGAGAGAAGCACACGCATAGGGAGAGAGGAATCAGATAATGGTCCTTTTTCTCTGGGGTTCTGCAGCCATATAAATGTTAATGAAAATTTGCCATGTTTTTCAGTGCCAAAGTTGTAATGGTTGATGCCGGTCTCGTCCCTCTCAAACATCTACAGCACACAGACACAAACAAACTCCATTCATCACACTTCATCAGAATCAGTGGGCTGAGTGACCAGTGACCAGTGAGCAGTGAGCATTGAGAGAGAGCACAGGACCTTTCCATTTATGCTGAGACCATTGCAAAGCTTCCAACTCTGAGTTTAGAGGAAACACTAAACTAACTCCTACGTAAGGTTGCTGTTGTCCTTCCATTCTTTCCTCATGACCAAACGCAAAACAATAGTGGGGCGGTCAATAATTTTCCAAAAGTTCCTATGTTCATTCATTTTACCTTTGACCGTTATTGGCCTTTCTTGTGTCTCTTGATTAAAAAAGACCAGTTGATGTAAAAAGTTGACAGAGACTTTTCCTTCTTCTTTCTTTTCTTTTTTTTTTTTTTTTTTGCACTACACTCAGTTCAAACTAAGCGAAAATTGATTTTGATTATCCAATGACAAAATTTCTTTTAAATTTCATACTTAGAACGATTATATATCGAGGTTAATTCTATGACAAGAAATTGCAATACGTGAGAATACTATCCTAATAGAAAATTAAGAGTGACTTTAAACCTTGAACTCGTATATTGTTAAACCAAACTCCTTTATATAATTAATTAAAGCCTTAGAGGCATTAGTTAAATAATCATGAAGTTTATAGTCCAATTCTCAAGTCCTTCCCTTTCTCTGTAAGATTTGAAAAATCTTTTCTCTGAAAAAAAAAAATCTTAGTGAGATGGTTTTGGACCTTTGGTAAGCTAAGTATGTTACATACTTCAGTTGGAGTAGTTTTCATGTAACAAGATATCTGCACTAGGCAATCATATAGATAAGTAACATTTCAGTGCCATTAAATTTTGGGTCTGAAATCTCATTTTTGGTGCAAAGATCTAACTCACTTCTTGCGATAATGAACAAGAAGAGTATATAATAATTCCCACTTGAGAGTTGGGAGGTCTCAACTTTCTGGTCGTCTAAAGAGAGGATGTGAGGCCATCATCCTTCAAGGGTTAGTTTAGGGGCCATCAAGCCACCTTTACAACTGTTATAATGAGTTCAATCACTTGCAGCTGTTGCCCCTTCATATTGTTCGAGGAAAATGAGAAGCAAAACAAAACTCCTATAGGTGGTCGATCTTAATTTATGGGCGTTACAATGAATTGCAAGAGGACAATCAAGAAAATGCCAACTTTTGATGATCCCTTGATTAGACTTGTGCCCCCATGACAACTTTGATTGCACATAAAAACATTAGAAAAACTACTGGAAGATGCTAACAAGGATAGTCATTTATTGTGGAAATTTTTTATGCCTTTCCCAAAATAGTACTTATACCTTTCTCCCATTCTTGTCTCAGAAGATGCTATGATGGGCATTGCCATATAGAGGACCATTTGTTTATTCCTTCCATTTCTCCAATTAATTTTCCCCCCATTTAATTTCCTGTATCACCGGTGAGAAATGGAAAAGGAAAAGAAACATGGCTACTCATATAAGCAAGTAGTGTGCTTTCACTTTCACATTGGTTGAATTATGCCAAGTAAGAGCCAGTCGTGATTACGTACTAATTTAAAAGTTCTGAAAAGTTGCCTGAGTTTTTGAAGTTTTGTGTCCCTTGGTCTCATTGGCGTTTCTCTCTTCCCTGTCATATCAGTGTAATATATAGAAAAACACTCCTATTTCTGCTTCCAACATTATTATTATTCTTTTTTCGAAATACCACTTTGAAAGAATGCGGACAATCGAAAAACACCCATTCAAGATTTTGATGCATTTATCATGAAAATTGAGCACAAAGATGGAAGGTTATCGAGTCTAATTACCCCTTAGGAAGCCAAAATTACATTCTCCTGAACAGACGAACCACCCCGGCCGTAATTTGCTGCAATAATAATTAGCTAAAGCATTCACTAGTAAGTGATTAGTATGCAGTAAGTAATTAGATTAACAAATTTCCTTGGTGTTGCAGTTTAGTCCGGCAGCTCCATTGATTTCATGACAACTGTCTACTGAGAATATTATTTAGGTAGTGGCACCAAATAAAGCCATATAGGTAAAATGTATTATTCCATTTTGGATTGCTTCGTGACACTTGTCTTCTTAATTTAATGGTTAGACGTACCATGCAGCCAACGATGGTGGGATCATCTTTAAGGGCCTGCAAATTATGGTAGGCCTTCTTCCTCAAGCTCTAGAGTTATTGACCCCATTTCCACCTTTTTTGTCTTCATTAATATTGTGGAAGCAACATTCCACGTTATTTTGTTAGGGAAACACTGAGGCCAAGCTAGCTTTTGATTTGAGTTGGACCTGCAAGCTCTTGTAGAGCAATGAATGATTTTGTTGCAGCAGTAAAGAGGAGCTTTAATTATATTTATCGTCAATATTGACCTCTCTTGAGTCCTTACCCAGAAGAGATGTTTTAGAGTTTTAAGGTATTGACCAATAAGCGGGCACAAGAGCATTAGACTTGGTGATAAATTAGAAGAGATATTGATAAGAATGAGTAATTTTATGTTTTCGATTAATCTTTTCTACATTGACAGTGTCAGCGTTGGATGAACGATAACTATGTAAAATTTGAATTTAAAATTTAACTTTTGTACATATATCATTGATTCAAAGGTGATTGTATATACGTTGTCAGTGTATATAAGATTTATTTGTACGTTTTTAGTAACATTTTAGGAGCACATATTTTATTTTTTCCAAGGTATAACTAAAAGTTTGATTTTTTTTTTTTTTGACAAAATCTAATTCAGTTAATAAATTCTTGGGGGCGCCATATGGTCCGGCCATGCAGACACCCAAAAAGAAAGGAAAATGGAACAAAAGAATGTTACTAGAATTTAAATTGCTATCTTTTTTGGAAATTTTTTTTGGAGTTTTAGGGCTGCCATTTGTACTTTACATATATCACATTTTCAAAAAAGTGCTACGATGTTAGTCTCCTATAAATACTCCAAAAAAACTCACCAAAAACGTCCAATCCAAACTACTAGAGGGGGAAAGAAAAAAAAACAACCATAATTTCGTTCAAATGAAAGCAATTTGCCTAATTACCCTACTTTTAACTAAAAAATGCGAATTCCCACATATAGCCCACCCTTTGTGAATTTCTTGGAAGCCGATTTAATAGGACCTTGATATCTTCTCAAAAAAAAAAAAAAAAACAGAGAGGTGCAATCCTCAATTCATTCGTCCATCAATGTAAAAGAGCATTGCAGGGGAGGGATAAGTTGGATGGTACAAAAAATGGAAGTGTAAATGAGAGGTTAAGGATTAGAAATTTTCCATTTACACCAAAAAGAAAAACTTAAAAGAGCATCATATAATTGGCGAAGAAATGGAGTCCAAATATCAAGATGAACATTCAATGACGAAAATGGCATCAAATTGGGGGGCCGAGTAGGTCTTTTAGGATCCAGAGTTCTATAAGTTAAGTTATGACCAATTCAAAACTTTTCTCGCATCTTACATTTAACCAATTTAATTGTATGAATTAACAAATTTAAGTTTATACTAAAATTATGCTAGTTTATACCAAAAAGTATAAGAATATTATTACATCCACGGATTTGAATTAAACAGAACTTAACTTGTGACGCGTCGTACTAGTTAATGGCGAATTGCACTTTCACAAACAAGCTCGCCTGTACGTATTTAACTGCAGGGAGCAGCTTACAAATAGGAGGTCAAGGATAAAAACGTGGTTACCTATTCATTCATTCATAAGGAGGAGAGGACGAATGTTACAGTTTGACTGGGCGTTCCCTATATGTCCCACTTTCTGCAGATGCTTTACAAACTGGCAGAATTTCTGAGAATATGCACATCGATTGTGATGGATTTTCAGGGATTATACAAGTTAGGCAAATGGCCCTGATTCTTGTTTTCCTTTTTCTTCTCAAGTGTATGGTCGTTGCCTTCCCTTCAGGGGGAGGAGGAGAAGTGAATATTACCTAAACGGTGCACTATTTGAAACCAAGACTAGTTGTTACCAATTTGTTTAGTCATTTTCTGCTCCACACCACATATGTCTTGAATGAATTGAAGTTAGTGAAAGAAGTAATTTAAAGCTTTAACTGTGGATAATGTACCCAAGGTCTACAAGTATTTATTCACCTTAACTCCTAACAGAAGACAAGTTATTCTTAATTTTGATGGTTATCCATTGTCGACTTCATTACGTTAATTCGTTTGTATGCTGTAAGAAAGGCAGCTCTAGGAGATTATGATCACTTAGCTAGGAATTCTTTATTTGTACGCCTTATCCTTGGAATTTTGTCTCCTGCATAGCTCTGGCAGTATTATCAAGTAGATAATGAAGCCAATAACTGCTAGTCTGCGCCATCCTAGAGAAGGTTGCCAATTGCTGATTAGTTATTGCACAACTCAGAATCTTGAAACTTTTGAAAAGTCCCTATAACGTGCAATGCACAAGTTAGGCCTCAAACATGTTGCATCTGTTGGTTGATTTTCGGATCTTTTATGGACTTATGTTATTGATATATATATATATATACTTTCTGCCATTATCCCAATAAATTAAATTGTGTTCTCTATTTAAAAAAAAAACACAAGACATCAAGAATACTTAAAATATTTAAAATATAAGAATTATGTAGTGTAATGCATATTCGAAATCGAATTTCCTACTCAGAGGTGGATAGATTAGGTGATTACAGGGGAAAGAGTATAAGCGAGAGCTCGCGAATCTGAACCCTCACGCTTAAGAAAAATAAATCGTATTTCGTGCTAGATATCTTTCTTTATTCATAGTGGTATGGCATTCTACATTTCTACTTCTTGTTCGACTTCAATTATTTATTCTTTAATTTGTGAACTACAACGTGCAAATAATTTAAGTTACAATTAGATGGTCCATCCAATGAATCAACCGATTCATAGGGGTTGAAACCGCCACTACCCTCCTCAATCCGGCAATCACAATCTTTTTAGGCAATTTCCATTGGATCCATTGACTGACCTGTGAATGAGAGAAATCTGGACGAGGAGGCCTAACTCCACGTGCATTCAAGAACGAGCTAAACTTGGAGTTTGGATGAAGGTTTTTCCGCCAAGTGTAAGCCATGCATCGTCCTTCTCACCCTAACAAGACAACAACCGCCCCACCTGGCTTCTCCCCAATCCATCTGAATCCTCTATATATTTTGTTTCACCAAAATCATCCCAACCCCATTTGGTCATTCAACCGGAAGGAAGAAACACCGAAAGGGTTCTCATTAAAGGCTGAGAAATCATGAGCAGCGGTTCATGCAACACGGGCTGTGGCTGCCCCGTTCCATGCCCTGGTGGGGTTTCCTGCAGGTCAGTCAATTTATGCTTGTTCTTGCAAAGTCCTTCGACTGATGTCTCTATGGTACTTGACGTTTTGCCTCAATGAAAAATATCTCGCAGGTGTGCAACGGGACGCAGGGAGGATGATCCCAGCGTAGAACACAAGCGGTGCTCGTGCGGGGAGCACTGTGGCTGCAACCCTTGTGCCTGTCCAAAAGGTACCAATATCACTGGCACTGGAAGAGGCGCTTGCCAATGTGGCGTTGGTTGCAACTGTGTGACTTGTGCAGCCTAGGGGGAGGGTTCCTACTTGCTCGTATGCATGTTGATGGAAGGTCGTAATCTAGTGATGTAATGTAATAATAGACTAGTAGTTCCCACGTAGTTTGTTTCAAGCCTAGACAGTGAACTACGGGCACCCTTTGCTCTGATGTATTCTCCTATTCTGCATGCTATGAAATCCTTGTCACTACGTGAAGGATGTTACTAATAAGCAATTTCAAGTATTTATTACTACTATCTTTTGCATACTACAAATACATCAAGAACCATCTTTTCTTCTTTTTGTTTTTTTCTCTTCTTCTCAAATTCCATAATTTAGCTAGCCGTGACTTGAATCCCATATTTATTCCCTACCGTTTGGACGCTCAGCCATGAAATCAACTGAAACACAGGTGTAAACTTCAATATGGCACTAACATGGGACTAGTCTTTATCATCACCTGCATTGATGCTAATATTCCAGGGAATGTTAATACTCCTTTCGGTTCATGAAGCTATTATGGTGCTAGAGAGGACATGATGCTGCACCAAGAGGAATCCAAATCTTTGATGAGAACATTTACTAAGTTGAATTTGTTTCTTGTTTTTTGGGGGTAAAGATGCTGCGATAAGCATCTGTGGTACTGCAATAAGCAATCCGAATGAGATCTGCCAGCAATTAAGGATTTGAATGTAGATTTTCTTTGGCAAACGCTCGGTAGCTAAATTGCATAGTTTTACTGTTTTAGTGTAAGTTGAACAAATTTTACAAGATTAATGGATTGGTAAATGCGTCACAAGATAAATGTTAGTGAATGTCGATGAATAATATATGCATGTATGTAGATTTAGAATATGTGGTGTTTTGTTTTTTGGAAATCTGAATTTATTAAATTATTGAATTATTAAGTACGTACCCAACTTGACATAATTTATTGTTAGAATATGAATGCTGAATATAGTATGCGTCGTGGATAATTATAGGCGACTGAATTTCATATTTTTTAATTTCTCCATATTGTTATATTTTGTCAGTAATATGTGTGACTTAATTTTTATTGAAAATAAGGTATTAAAAAATGAAAAAAGAATGAACCACTTTACTTGAGAAAAAACAAATTTTAGCATAACTTTTAATAGTTTCTTTTGTTTCTTTGTTAACATCTGTAGATATCGTAAAAAAAAATTATTTTGACAAAATATTTTAGCACAATTTTCAATAGTTTCTTTGCTTCTTTGTTAACTTATCACAAAAATGGAGTACACTTTGTCTAGCTAATTTAGAGTAATCAAATTAATTAAGATATTCTATCTTTATTATTCAATCCATCTGAACATGTTAAGATCTGAACTATCAAATTTAATTTTAAGTAGTGAATTAGGTTATAAAACCGGCCTTTAATTTGGTGCTTGCTTAGGAAAAAGATTGACATCAATTCCTAAGAGTCTCAAAAACTGTGAAATTTCGTCTAATCTTTTATCTTTCTTCCAATAAAGGTATAAGCTGCTGGTTAGCATCATTTGGAACCTCATTATATACCCAGCGTTCAAAGTGTACACAGTAAGAAGCTAAAGCCGAAGATGAGAAACTTGATTCGTACATTTTCAGGAGAATTTTGAAATTCTCCAAAATAGATTGCAAGGATTTAAAAATGTTTCAGACCAACATATCCAACTGCAGCATTAACAGCAAGAATTGAGAAAATCTGTCAAACATATGACAGGAATTCGACTCATGCTTGTCCAGGATTCAATTGACACTAATATGTGAGAACCCATTATGACAACAAAGTATTCAATCCAATCCTTGATGAAAGAACGTAAGCATAATAATGAAAGCATTCAATATTTTGGGTCAATGGTAAGCAAAATTTGTCCCGAGATTTAGCTCAATTGGTAAGAATATTAATTAATGTAAACAAAACACATATCAAGCGAAGTACTCACATAATTTTGATTCCTTTGCTTTTCATTACTTCTGTTAGATGTAAAATCTGTAGACAACGTACATACTGGGAACAATTACCATATATAGACCGCGGACTATGAAGCCCTAAGACGATAATGATAATAATTTTGAACAAAAAAGAATACCACGATATTCGGTGTACTGAATTGAGATGACAGAAAGGTGAGAACCCATTTTACAAAAGAAAAAGAAAAAGATTATGCACCACCTACAGATTAGGGGTTTGAACCCCTACAGGCTAGACCCCTACACCTATAGTAAAATTCAAAGAGCGTGTAATAGTGCACCCCTTTGGTTTAGACACTGAAATCGCTCTCTCCATCCTTTCTTGGTCCAGTTGGATCTTTTCGTAAATATTTTGGAGTAGTAGGTTAAAGTAGGAGTAAAAATAGTATAAGAGTTTACAATTAGCAAAAATAAAAAAATAAAAAAAATAGTGCAAGCAATGGAGCCCTGGAAATTGGTGAAATTAACTATGGTAGTGGCCTCCAAAATGAAGCTTTGTCATTTAAGAAAACGTTCACCCAGGGCATCATTCGCATAGTTTTTTTTTTTTTGTTGGGGGATACTCATACACAGCTTATTATATATAGCAATATTAAAAAGAAAAGAGAGAGATATTCATTAATTAAGAACTCATGGTCTTAGTTTTTATTATTATTATTTTTTAACATCTTGGAGGGGTCATTGTAAACTCTTCTAATTTTATGGTCTAATAATATAGTAAAATTTTTTGCCTCAAAAACAAAAAAGGCTTTGAGGTTGGAGGGGTGGGTAGATGATAGATGAGCAATATATTTTTTTGTGGCTTTAGGGGGGCCAAAGCTTACGTGAATGGAAGGCTTTGGGCTTTAGGGTGCAACGTATAATTGCACGTTTTGGCTCTTTTCTAAAGGAGCTTTTTTAATCTTTTAGATTTGATGCTTTGACTTTTGGACTTGTCCAGTGAAACTTCTCTTTTTGGATTTTAAAGGTAAGTCGCCCCACTCACATGGTCTGTTTCTTGACGTATCACAAATCATTCCATTTCACTTCATCAGATAAAATCTCTCAAAGGGAGGGAGGGGATAGATTTGTGTTTGTGGGAAAATGACCTAAAGATTCCCCAAAACTAATGGACCCCATCATTCTTCATGGATTGATGATTAGGGTTTGTTGAGGCTTAACTTTATCTTCTTAAACATACATCCCTGTCTGATTTATAAATAAGATAAAAAGGCTAAGTCCTACCATGCCATGCCATTCCATGCTGCTGTTTTTCCTCCTCCTCCTCTTTCTCTTTTCTCCCATCTCGTTAGATCCTTCTTCACAAAGTATATGTCAATTCAAAGAAAGCTTTTTGGTTGTAAATAGAACTTTTGTTATCTTTATTCTTTCCAACGTGTGTGACATGTTAGTTGTTGCCCCCCCCTTACAAAGCCCTTTTTGGATGACACTTTTTGTTTGTTTTACATTCCATGTAAACTCTATCTTTGGTTCTTTACCATTGGAAATCATGCAATATAGTTTATGCTCATCCTCTCCTCCAAATTTGTGACAGTACATCCCATTAACGTATCCAACAAAAAACAAGAATCCAAAATTTGCTATAAGCTCCATCAAAGTGATCACCCCTCCTCCTCAACCTATCATAATAACTATGTGGCAACAAGAAACATGATTCCAAAATTTGCAATTACATCCATCAAGCCATCAAAAATTGCGGATTTCCAAACATAAAAGTCTAAATTAATGATAATGAATCACACACACACACACACACAAACACAAACACCACTATCATGGCATGCTTTTCGTGTAGTATTAGTTTGTCTTTGATGTATATATGAGGTGAGGTGAGGTGAGATGATCCACTAGCATGGTTCGAACTGATTGGGAAGCACATGGATAGTAAAAGGGTCTTCTTCCCAGAAAAGGTTAACAAATTGCTACCAAAAAGAAAAAGAGAAAGGAGATGAAAAGAAGAGGGAGGAGATGAAAAGAAGAAAAAGGGAAAACAACCCATGCTGGCTCAGTCCTAATTAATATTGGTAAACGTACTTTCAACCCCCTATTCAATTGTTATTTTAGTTTCTCCCTCGTTGGAGGAGAATAAAGGTAGCATTCGAGTGTCTCGTTTGTGTGGAATGTTTACTGTGTACAAAGTGTGTGTGGTGTGTGAGAGAATAAGAGGACATGTGAAGCTGCAGAAGAAACAACAATTTCAAAAGCACAATGACAATGGAACTATGTACAGCTTTCCATGGTTGGACTGATAAAATAAATAACAAGTTTAGCTTTTCCTCTTGCAAGTGACAAAAACTTTACCCTAGCTAACTTGGATTCAAATGGAGCAATAGAGCTGCTGGTCTGTATCTGTCTCTTTCCAGTTTGGCTACAAGTGCTCCTACATGCCAATTAGCTCCACTATGATTGCTATTTCTCTTGATTGAGAATGTGTCCTTCTAACACTGTACCCCAGGAATGATCAAGGTAGAGAAATAGTGATTATACATCATTGAGGTAGCTAAAAAATTAGGATCAGAGGTCACATCAATTGTTTTTGTGTAGTCAATTTGCAAAATACAGAGGTGGTATTGCATGATTATTTTCTGTGTGTTTTTGGATTCAATGCAGCTGTAAATGTTGTACTAGGATCCTTCAGGGAGTAAAAGTTGGATCCCCATTTGCCTTAATAAATGTAAACTCCTTCAACTATTTTACTTGATAAAAGAAAATGCCGATTCATTATTTGCCTTTTGTTTGTATTTTTCCCTTGTTGATTGTCCGTTATTAGTCCGATCCTTTGCAGGAACTACCATTTTTTGTCTTTTTTTTTTAATTAATGATAATTCTTCTTCCCTTTGTTAATTTATCAATAGGAATTCGGATTGCTAAGAGCTCATTCGAGCTTAATTTGTTAACTAGTCAAACCAAGTTTGAACAATATTTTACGTTCAATAAAAAAAAAAATTCGTTCAAACTAGATTCGACAAATAAATAAGTTAAATTTAAATAAAATTTCAAATTCATTAAAACAATCGAATAAGATTTAACATTAGATTCTTCGGTTTGACTAGATTCGTTTACACCAACCACAATTCATTTCATTTGTAAGTTACTTTTAGAATCGCTTGTTTTTCTGATTTTGTTTCAGAGTTATTCAACTGATAATAATTACCTGCTGCAGCATATCCGCTCTGTCCCAAGAGCATGCATGCATATGTATCTAAATTTTGAAAAAAGAGTGACTGGAGGGGGACCATGGAGTTTGTGGATTTCTGCATCAACAAAAATATCATTTCATAAGTGGATATGCAGTCTGAAAGATACCTTCACTTACTTTCCAGTT